CTCGTGGTCATCGTCGCGGTCATAAAGCTTTCGGCGATCCATTTGGTTGTAGGGAGCATCTCGAAGATTACCGCGTACCCCGACTTTGGCCGGAGAGAGGTCGGAGTGCTCCGCATACCACACAAAATCCTCGTTGGCTCCTGTCGCGCACTGGTAACAACATCGGTCATGTATGTTGCGCCAGTCGTCTTCGCCATCGGGGTTGACCGAGAGGAGGTAGTAGGGGGGGAAGAGGAGGCCACAGAATGTGCAATCGAGGGAGCCGTCGTGGAGCTTGTCGGTGTTCGGGGTGCTGAAGTACTGGAGGTACTTCTCGACACGATCGACGTCCCTCTTGTGCTGATCCTCGATCGAAGTCCCATCGCGACCAATTAGTTCGATGGGCATCCCGTTATCGTCGACTTCCTCGCCGGTCAATTGTCGCCGCCAGATGGTGGCGAGCTCGGCGTCTGATGAGTTAGGAAACTGTCGACGTAGGGATGCCATCGCGGTCTTTTCGGAAGCTCGCTTAAAGGCGATTACCTCGAGGGCTCCCTGGGTGTGTTGATCGTCGTATAGTCTTCGTTGCATTTTGAGAGCACGGCCCGCATCGGTGTCTGGGTCGACACCCTCCAAGTATCGCGCGGCCGGCAGAACTGCCCCGGAGCTACTCGCGGGTGCTTGGGAGAACTGCTCGATTGGATCGGGTGCAGTCGTGGGAACCTCGGGAAACTGTTCAATCGGATCAATGTCCATCGAGGTCTGACGGTGGCTGGCCATCGCGTCGGGTGGGTCGGGAGGTTCGGGAGTACAAACAGGGCTTGAGAGGTCGAAGTCTACGGAAGCCAAGCAATCTCCAAGGAGAGAGCAGGCCCCACTACAACTAGTAGAGCCTGTGGTACACACAAGTAGTTGTACTGGGCAATGGGCTTCACTTCTTGTTCTCGTGTGGGCATAGCGAGAGTCGAGGTAGACTATCGGGTAGAGTGGGACACGTCGCCGAGGCGGAATTCCCCCCTAGAGCCCGAAATCGAGGTGACACCGGACACTCCCGTGCGTCGCCGAGGCGGAAACGGGGTAACCATGTGAGACCGGTGGGCTTCGGGAGCGTCTAGTTGAAAGATCGAGAGCCTTCTCGAAATCGTAGGATGAAGGCTGGTGGCTCTGCGGCGATGATGGGTCGCATTCTCTCGTGTTGGGCGAAAGCACTCCGCATCGCCGGAGCTAGCATGTTCGAAGTACACGAGATGATCGCAGATGCTTGTTCGCGAAAGAAGGTCGTCATCGGCTCGAAGTTCGGCATCTGTGCCGCAAACAGGTTGAGGTTGTGGGCTGTGTGGCACCACATTCGAAGTCGGTGCATGCGGTACTCCACCGATGTATGACTCAAGTCGGAGAGGGACGCCGTCATGCTATGCCAGACCATCGAGTAGATCAGTGTAGTCCGGGGGTCGACGAAGTTGTTCGGGACACCCAGGAACAAGACCCTCTCCTGGAGAGTGTCGTCCTGTGGGGTATGAATCGGGAGGTCGATGTACAGCCCAAACTGTGTCAGATAGCTCCCGAAGGTCGGGCATCGGAGAACCTGTTCGAGGTAAATGACGCCGTCATATGTGATTTCCCATGGGGAATCGAAGGCAAAGGACGAGTACGGGTGGTTGCCTGGAGGAAGCATCGCGACATTGTGTCCGCCCACCGGTGTCATCGCCTGTAAATTCGGGGACATCATCGGGAAGTTGTCGAAGTGTCTCAAAGTCTGGAATCCGAACACAGGTTCGTGTGATGCCGATGGATTGGATCGGACATCGTCGATCGACGTCCTGCCCTTGTCAACCACCTGTGTGTCGAGCCACTGTACTCGGAATCTCTCGAGGCAGGACTGTCGAGGTGGCTGTGGCTGAATCGCGGTCGGTACACCCGTGTATGGACTCTGCATTGATGTCGCGACCGTCGAGGAGGAGGCAGCTCCAGCCTGGGTCGTGTTCGGTGTCAGGACCTGTCTAGGGTCTGGTCGTGACAGGTCCACAGCTGGGTGGACCGTAAACCTCGGAGGAACCACTTTGGGCATAGCCTTCGTCTGTGCCCCCACAATGGTCGTGGTAGTCGGTGTGCCGAAGGCTGGGTTGATCCACTCGGAGTCACTCGGGTTGTTGGTCGAATTAGTTGTGGCTCGGTCTGTCGGCTGTGTTACCTGGGTACTCATCGGAGTCGTGGTCGGAGGTGTAGCCGGAGCTGCCATCGGGGGAGTCGGTGGTTCCGTCGTCCGGATGCCAAGGATCCGGGGACACCGGTCGAGTCTGTTGTGTGGTAGTATTAGGTGTTGCCGTCGGCGTCGGAGCCGGGGTAGAGGCTGCGATCTCATCCGGGACCTCGACGATTACCGGCGTGTTGTCGAGCCATCGTTTAGCCGGTGATTGCGATCGTCGAGGGAATCTCGCCGGTGACAATGGTCGATTTGAACCGCGAGCTGCTCCATCGCCGGGGCGGAAGGCAGCTCGGGTAGATCGACCGAAGCTAGGGGCATCGGAGTCTGTGTCCGTGCCCAGCTGGAAGAATGGTCGCCTCGGCGCAGTGCTCGGAGGTGCTGTCGAAGGTGCCGCCGATGGTGTTGGGTTCGTAGGAGCAGTCGACGGTGTAGCTGCCGGAGGGAATCGCGATCCCGAGGAGGGGAAAATATTCCCTCGTGGTGTGATCGGAGGCTGTCCCCATGTCGCTGGGGGTCGAGAGTCATCGCGTGCTCGTCGGGGAGATCGTCCTCGATGATTGCCCTCTGCCATATCTTGTCGGAGTCTGGCCGCAGCGTCGGATTTGTCCCATGCTTCGAAGTCGTAGTACTTGGAGAAGTTGGTGCCGAAGTTGAATTTGCGCATCTCGGTGTGGCGAAAGGTAGCCATCGTGTCCATGATCCACTCCTTTGCCTGTTCTCGAGTCACTTGCTCGAGGAAGGCACCTCGTGATGAGTAGTGGTACGGAGGCTCACCGCGTCGGAGTTGTCGTTGTAGGACAACAGCTCGTCGCATGGCATCATCGAAAGTAAGTCCGTGTTGGTTCCAACATGTGTTGTGGTACTCGCAGCATCCCTGGAACCATTTATGGCAGATTAGATTAGGCACCACCCATTTCTTGTTCAGGAAGTCGGGGTGTAGGTGCACACAGTTCTGCATGTTGCAGTTCTTGTTATCGAGGATTCGGGGGCAAATCTGTCGTTTGATCGAGGACAGAGGTACTCGGGCTTCGTCGTGGACTCTTTCGGGGAACTCAGCGAGCATAGAACTCGGCACAGGTGCAGTGAAATTCTGCGTCGAGCCCTCGCAAAGAAAATCGAACCAAGAGTCAGATCGAGGGACTGCCATGGCTTCGAAGTAACTAATCCAAGTCGATGGATGTCGTGTTAGAGGGCTTGAGGCGCCCTTCGAAGTTTCTCTTTCGAGCTGTAGAGGCAGCGGGTTCGGGATTATGAAGTTCGATGCCAAAATCATCACGAAAAATGTCTGCCAAATGCTGATTATGCAACTCTGTCTCGTGTACAAGGAGAGCAGCATCAGTCTCCGCTGGAAGGGGTGCATGATCGGAGTCAGGGTGTAGGGAAGCCTCGACGATCTCGAAGGGCACCGTCAGCGGCTCCGCGGACTCGTCGCGGTTGGTAATGTGCAGGTACAGGAAGGCCTCGAGATTGGGCGGCTTCAACAAAGTCGCCGCCAAATTGACAATGTCGTTCGCCGTCTGACAATAGGCGATCTGGTCGATGGCCTTCCGTATTTGTCGGGATTGTCGTTTGTTCCAGGCTCCCCACGTCACATCCTCGGGTTTCTCGATTTGAAAATCTTCGAGAACTTGCTCGCGGCTGAATTCCTCGAGCGATTCCTTCAAACTGTCAACAACTGACAGAGAAGCCGTAGTGCTCGAAGTACTGGCCGCCAGCAGCGGTCGTAGTAGAACTCGGGGTACTGGCCGCCCGGAGCGGCTATGACCGAGGAGTGATCCGAGGGGACTGAAACAAAATTTCTCTCAAGCTGGAACAGCTTTTCGCCAAAATGGCCACGGAATATACAATCGTTCGAATTGAATCGGTGAGTTAATCCCCTGACCGATTCGGTGATCAAGTGAGATAATATGTTGTCACTTCGCACAAACAAGTGTGTGCTACACTGTCAACCGGCCGGAACCTCACAGCAGGCAAAAACAGTCTGAAAGCAAGAAAGAGTCTTCACACGACTTTTGCACAAGCTACATGGTAATCAAGTCCGGAACACTGAACCCAAAGCCCGAAAGTTACGAACAGAACGCGGTCGAGAGAGCACTGGTTGTATGGCACACGGAGGCTGAAGAAACGAAGACATCGCTGCAGTCGACACACACACACACACGCACAGAGACAGACAGACACACACAGACACACACACACACACACACGGACACACACGCACACGCCCACGCACGCGCGCACACTTGATCTGACCCTCGAATGACCGAAGCCAAACATGGGTTATGGGTTAGCACGCATTCCTACAATCGTGGCCTACGATCTTCTCTCGTTTCAAGGTTTTTTGGCTTTGCCCGGTGCCATTCCAAACGACTTGTTCATCACAGGCAGGTACGTTTTCACGCCTACCGTCGGAGGTCTTCGTTGGCCGCAGCCCCGATGGTAGGCCTGTGGCCCCTGCTGAAGTCAGCTGCACTGTTTTTGCCCTTAGCTGCAGGGTGGTACGCACACACACACACACAAACACACACACACACACACACACACCTGGACGTAACAGCGGGGCAAGACGGGAGATACTCCAAAACATTCACGTAAACCGGCTATGCAGGCACCCCGAGTTCCCAGAACATAAGCTCATGACAGAAGTACTCCAGATAAGTGATGCAACAGGAACTGGTTCAATTGATTGGCAAGCGTGAGGCATTCCGCAGTGCAGACTTGAAAATGAATGAGGCCAACGCAGTCTTGGGGTACTGGCTTGCCCTCTCCAAGTTGCAAGACCCTCTGTAACCCACGAACGGAGGCCCAAACCAGCCTCGTTAGCCATGGAATTGCTGGCCAGGTCCTTGCCTCAAACGTGCAGCTTCTTGTCACTCACAATTGTGTGAAATCTCGGCATACTCGTGGCACCGATGGCAGCAGCAGGAGTGGACGTAGTCGTAGCAGCCGGTGAGTGGAAGCAGTAGTACCAGCAGCAGTGGCAGCAATCAGCGATAAAAGTAACAATAACAATGACAATAGCAGCGACGGTGGTGGTGGTGGTAGTAGTATAGTAGTAGTGGCAGCAGCAGTAAGAAGAAGCAGGACTTCTAGTACTATAAGTGGCATGAGTACTAGTAGTGGTAACAGCACCAGCGGTAGTATCAGCAGAAGCTCCAATGTGATCGCAGTTAATGCAAACACTGTAATGTTGGGGGAACTAACATGTCAATGTATAGGTCTACATGTCCAGGCGTTGAAATCTGACATGTGTTCTCACTTCAAACTCACACATCAACAGCCGTGACTAAACCTGAAAACACCCGTCTAGTTCTCCCACAGTCCCCGGCACATGTACCCGCCTCATACACATACACATACTATACCGAAAAGCTGTCGTGAGGGCCCAGATATGATTGCATTGTACGATTTGCATCAGAGCATTTGCAATCAGAGCAGTTCTTTCTAATTTGTCACTAATCCCAACCAGTATGCAACTACCTCGAAGAATTGTCTCTGTGAGTGTAGATGGTCCTCGAAAACCAAGCGATTGAGTATTGCCGATGACACCCTCACTCGCACAAACAGCACCACCTGAACACAAGATTACTACTATTTTTGCTATTTGCTAATCTCCATAACCCCGGTACTGTCACGAACAGCCCCATCTCAAAGCAAGACAGTATTGTTGACAAATTGCCTTGAACCTCTCCTGAAAGCGGGGTTGGACATCACAAGCCACAGAAGACCGCCATAAAAGCCTGCATCTTTGAGGCAGGGAACTTATTCCCCCCCTTGGCACCCAAGATAAATGTTGAGGGGCTTGTTCCGTTGGACATGCATCGAGCTGCAGTACCCAGCACTGCTGCCACATTGAAACTTAAACATGGCCCAATGCTTTTTCAACTAGGCACGAATCACCCAAGCAGGTTCACCTCTCCATCCGAAACCTAAGGTTCGGAATCCTGGGCTCGCAGCGCCTTTAATCTTACTACAAAGCCAGGGTGCTGTAGACCAAGATTAGGTCGATGGCACTCATATTCGACTTCGTCGTGCAGGGTACCACCGTGTCCCAATGCATTTTGCTCCCGTTCAGCAGCATCACCTGCACGGCCCGACATATTCCGCGCGAGTGCAAAGCTCTTGGAAACTCTGGCTTCTGGGGTGCAGGAGTTAAAACTCCTTCGGCCCAAACCGCAAAAGGCCCGAATACACGCATTTGTTAACCCAACACCCAGCCTCTTCATCGGTAGAGAACACTCGGACCACCGCCAAGTGCTCGTGTCCATGGCCTCCGGCCCAGACCTGCACCTGGCACTCGGGCTTGTGCTTGAAACGACGGCCACCAGCTTGGGTCCTTCAACTCGCAGAACCCCAAGCCCTGAACCCCAAACCTGAACAGTGCCGCTGAAGCCAGCCGCTTGCGCTGCTGTTGCTGAAACGACCACTACGACTACCACTGCAAACACCCCTGCTGCTCCTGCCGCTCCTGCTGCTCCTGCTTCTGCTGCTGCTGCTCCCACTCCTACTCCTGCGCCTGCGCCTGGGCGAGTCTACGCCTGCGCCAGCTCCTACTCCCACTCCTATACCTTCTCCTGCGTCTATTCCTACTCCTACAACTCCTACTCCTACTCCTACTCGTGGTGCTGCTGCTGCTGCTGCTCTGCTATCGCTACTGCTACTAGTACTCCTACTACAGCTACTCCTCCTCTTCGGATCGTGCTGTTGCTGTTACTGGATTGCTAACGCTGAGTGCCACTGCCGCTGCCGCTGCCACTGCCTCTGTCACAGCCTGCTACTTCTGCCGCTGTTACTGATACTCCCCTCCTCCTCCTCCTCTTCCTCCCCTCCTCCTGCTGCCACTTGCTTCTTGTTCTTCGTAAAGTGTGGAGATCACAAACTTGCATGCCGGGCCACCAAGCCCAGAGCAGCAAGAGCCAGTGTGCGTAACATGGCCTGGAAGCTGGAGCTTCTCCAGGGTTGAACAGCAAAGGCCACAAAGATACGTGAGATCTCAGGCTTTAGGTATACACATTATTACGTTCCAGGGCCCGAAGGAGCAGGACCACAGACGGGCGAGACTGTTAGAACAACGTGTTCGAAACCTGGGTGATGGAGCGCGTCAATAGGCTGTTTATGGTGAAGAAGGCAAAAAAACTAATGCCGCCATGACGATGACGGTCACGATCACGATCAGGATGGTGATGCTGGTGGTGCTGGTGGTACTGGGGGTCTTCGTCGTACGGGGTTGTTGTTGCACCTTGTTGATGCTGGCGCGCTGCTAGAAACTAGTATATACTGGTGCTGGTTGTGGCGACTGTTCCTGCGTTCCTTGTGATGGCGCAATCTTCTGCCGAGCTGCTGGGAGCGCAAGAGGCGAAGCGACGCTGCGGGGCACTAAGCTGAACTGCAAAACGTCTCGGAAGGCGTCTGTGGAAGCAGAATCTTCCGAAATTGCTGAACCCGGCTTTGAGATTGACTTTGTTAACACTGGCTTCATCAATTATCTCTGTATTTGCTCGAGTACGCACTCCTTTGTGATTACTGCCAGAAACATTATCGCAATGATCGTTGCGAGAAAACAGTCTTCAATTATGGTGTTATGACCTGTGCTGCTACTACTGCTTCATCAAAGCGGTCTTACGGTTGCCACAGCTGCTATGATTAGCAACACGAGTTCCTACAGGTGATACCTCTAGTGTCCTTGTTGCAGCAATCATTCTCGTCGTCTTGCATGTGGCAGAGGACAGTACTCGTACATTGGCACAGTTGCCTGCAACGAGCAACATCCCTTCTCCCAGTAAAAGTCGGCATTAAGGTTTTCCAGATCTCCGCAGGCCACTGGAAGGAACACGCAGTTGCAAGTCGTCGTGCAAAAAATACGAGGCGGCAAGCTGAGCAGTGACAGCGACAAGAAACTTGATCGAAGTCAACCGAGAAACGTCCCACCCAGCTCTCCGCAAAAGGGCCGACCAAAGTGGGCCAGGGTCAACTCATGCAGTTCCACAACAAGTGGGAGGTCAACATTGACTCTGGCTGACACTTTGCAGGCCTCATGGTATCGCGGTGCCACATGCCGACCGGGGAATTTTGAGCGGCGAGTATAGATCGGGCCGAGGCCTTCCTTTTACCAATTTTTACATGCGCCCGCCCGAGCAACCCAAACATTCGTTTCGACCTTGGCAATGATAGCCATCCTGGTAGGAGTAAGACGACCAAGCAACGGAGACAACAGCTACGACCACACCACCGGCACAGCAAAGGAAATATCTCAGCAGCGGCAACAGCAGCACAGCAGGAAGTAGCAGTAGTGGCAGCCAGAGTCGGAGGAGGGGCAATTGTAAGAGTAGTAGGACCAGTAGGAAAAGCAAGAGTAATAGAGGCACCACGCCACGGAAAGAAATCTGCTCCGGGACGTCAAACGTCAACTTAAAGTCACCAACCTAACGTCTCGGCCTCGCCCTCCTGGTTGCTCCGGTCAGGGGCACGCGTCTTATCCGCGGGGAAACAAGACGCGCTTTAGGCGCGCTTCGTGAAACGTCTTGTTGCAAGGCCCGTTGAAAAGATGGGAACGACTTGCTTGGGACCATGGGATAGCACTTACGTCTATACACATTCTCAACCAAAGGTCTGTCAAGACAACATAGGTCGGTTATGATACTGCAAAACCCTTGTGTAATGACAGACATAGACACAGGTTGAAAAAGAAGAGACACTTGACAATCATGAACTCTGTTGCAGACCCACATTCATGCCAAGTCCACAGAAAGCCACAAAGGGCGGCCCCAAGAAAAGTCTCACGTCGGGATTGGCAGAGGTGCCAGGCACTCAGGTAGCGAGTGGAGCAGGGATGCCGAAAAGCTGCAGCGATTCGACCCGCTCTCCTCACCGAAAGACCATCCGACCATTCTGCACTCGGGCATTGTGTCTGTTAACAAAGGCCAACTAAAGCTGCAATTCATCAGAGCATGAAGGCGCCGAGGGTATAGGAGTACAGTATAGGTACATGCGGTACATGCAGACGAGGCCTTGCATCTTCAGTACCCGGCGACTCCTCTCGTGTCACTGCTGCTAGCTATCGTAAGCTAACATCATGTCCAGGACTTTCAACAGCAGCACAACCACCATCCCCGTCTACCAACAACAACAACGAAATTGCTGCGACATCACCATCACGGTTGCAACCCTCTTCCGCTACTGCCGCTACTTATGCTGCCGCAAGTACTGCAGCAAAGAGCCTGGACTTGCTGTGAACACGAGGAAACTGTGGCTTTAGGAAGGCATGGAGATGGACCTCATGGTGGGGGAAAGGAAATACCGCCTGATGGCCCCGTAGCAGAGATTCATCCTATACTGGCCGCAGAGTGCGCCACATGGTGCATCCTACCCCAGACATCGCAGCAAGGTTCGCTCATCTGGAGTCTGGCTCTTGATCGCATTGAGACTTCTGGTGGGATTGGCTGGGATGAGCCGAGCCTTGCCGCGACACAATAGACGGAATCTTCTTCGCAGGAAGCGCCTATCTTCTGCAAAGCGACTAAAAGAGGACCTCGCGAGAACCCGCAGTACATCTCGCGGCGACTACAACCCATTCGTCGGGGTGAAACACAAACCCTCGTCTAGGTAACGCAAACGGTCGGCCGGACTACTTGACTGGCAGAGGTCTGAACTACTCCCTCCTGTCGCATCTAAATCAACAGAATCAAGCACCTGATCCTGTCCCTCACTGCTTAGAATGTTGCAGAAGGAGAATCCCTGAATGCTTCAGGCGCTTCTTGCGAGGCAGCTCAGGGCAAAAATGTCTGCCCTGTTTCAGACCCGAACATCACCTGAGGGCGAAAGCGCAGGGGTTGCCAAAGCTTCCAGCTTTTTTGGGACGATTCCAACTGTTTCGTACTGATATGCAAGACATGTCTTGCAAAATAATGGCCGGCGTACGCCCGGACCGGACCGGTATGAGTACGCGATGGATTGCCTTGCTGTGCATTTCCTCCTCCGCTGCCGCCGCCGCGGCGGCGGCTGCTTCTGATGATGATGATGATGATGATGACCGCCGAATGCGCATGGTGTAATCCTTCTGACTGGCAGCAGTACTACTCAGGAGTATGGCAATTGGACTGTGCTGCGAAAGTTGGTGGCGGGTGGTAGTTGCAGCAGTCCCTGCTGCTAGAACTTCTCGTCCCGAGCGCTCGTTTCCAAGCATTCAGATGCGTCCAGCAGATGCGGCGCGGAATCTACAGACGCACGTCGTACCATGTCCGATCGGCTTCGAGGACGGCCTTGCCACCACCATGATCACAGCTCTCTCATCGTGCCCGTCATCGCCACAGTTGGATTGCCATCTTCAGATGACGCGCCCTTCGCAGAAGGTCATCGACAGGTTAAGCTGATGAGACAGCTCTCGCGACCTGTACCGACAGTAGGACCACCTCCAGCACGAATCCGTAACAGCGGACTTTCCTCACACCAATCTTACACCACTCCTATTCAACGACTGACCTTAACTGTCAAGCGAACAGCGCCTTTGCAAGCCTGAAGGACCTGGAGCAAAATCTGACGCTAAGGACCTCCAGCCTCCAACTGAGCCCAAAGCCATACACCCTCGACACTCTCAATCTTGAAACTGCGCTTGGCCTTCAGCCCAGCACCGAGAGTGCCAGCAGTGCAAACACGGCGGATGCCTAGAGCTGCATCTGAGGCAAAACACTGAGAAACTGGTGCAAACTTGCCTGGCGCTAGCCGCTAGTACATGTCTCGCTGAAGCCACCAAACTTGCGGTTGCTCCTAGCTTCAGCCACCAGCTGCCTGACTAAATGTAGCTCTCTATCGCAACATTGATGTTGTTTACTGCCACAACTACCTTGACTGACTCGACATGCTAAAGGAAGGCAAGATCTCTGCTGCCAAAGCGAAAATCGTGAACACGAGCATGTGGGAGCAAGAGCCCGACCAGCTGGGACTTCGTGGTGTCGCTGGTGCCTACGTGTCTCAGGAAAAGGTTGAACCAGTGACAGCAGCAGCCAGCAATCAACTGCACAACATCGCAGCAGCAGAAGTAGCAGTAGCAGTAGCAGTAGGCGTAGCAGTAGCAATAGCAATAGCAGCAGCAGTAGCAGCAGCGGAGAGCACGAGAGCAGGAGAGCCGGAGCAGCAGGAGCAGCAGGAGCAGGAGCAGCAGGAGGAGCAGGAGGAGGAGCAGTGAGGAGGACGAGAAGGAGCAGGAGGGAGTAGGAGGGAGTAGGAAGAGTAGGAGGAGTACGAGAAGTATGAGGAGTAGGAGGACTAGGAGCAGGAGCAGCAGCAGGGAGCAGGAGCAGGAGTAGGAGCAGGAGTTGGAGTAGGAGCGTCAGCAGTACTGGTAGTAGCAACAGCAGCAGTACTAGTAGTAGTAGTAGTAGCAGTAGCAGTAGCAGTAGCAGTAGCAGCAGCAGGAGCAGTACTACTAGTAGTAGCAGCAGCAGCCGTAAGCGTAAAAGTGGAAGTACTGTTGGTAGTGGAAGGAGTGATTCGTACAAACAACACCGCCCAAATTCAGCAACTGCAAAACACCCACAAACATCATGGCAACTGTCACACGCAACAAAACCCAGTGGCAAGCAAACCTCAAAACAACCAGGCAGCACCAAATATGAGTAACAGAGTCACCAGGATCCACGACAGAGGTCCTAATCAAACCCTGTGACCCCAACAGCACGAGCAACAGCAGTCAAGCAGTCAAACCAAACAAAGCCGCAACATCAGAAACAGCGGCCTCCACCAAGGTCTGCCTCAGAAAAGTTTGCATATGCTGTCCGAGATTTCCGGAAGAATCTTTGATCATCACGTTGCCGTTTCACACCACACCACCTGCTCCATCGCGGTCATAATTGTCAACATCAACGACATCATCCTGATCAAGCTCGCCATCAACATCACGATAACACCACCACACTCATAACCGTCACCATGATCATCATCATCATCATCGTAAACACCATTGTCCTCAACACCATGGTCATCAACACCAGCAGAAACTGCAGGCCGCCACCAATAACAAAAGGAACCTCATGTTCTCAAGAAATCCTCACGTGCCTCTACCTTCAGTATCATCTTGTCCTCTCCATGATCATCACCATCGCTCCTGTCAACTCTCAGCCGTCATCGACAAGATTACGGCTTTCAATGTCTGTCCTTCTTCATCCCTGCAGTTTTCGTTTTCCACATCAGCTTCCCGCTCAGCATCTTTGTCACGCCACCACCCATCACGAGGATCATGACCCTCGCCATGACAACCATCATGTTTAGAAGCACCAGCACCTAGCAGCAATCGCCGTCGCTTCGCCATCCATCATCACGCATCACGGCATGTGATTGCACGAAGTTTGATCGATTTGCACACTGGGAAGGCTGCCGTGGTCGTTGTCGTCGTCGTCGTTGTTGTCGTGGTGGTGGTAGTCGTGGTCTCAGCCAGACGGACGCTCAAGCTCCGTGCTTCTCAGTTCATTCCCCCTTGATTCGAAAGCTGTCTGCTCACTCCGACAGGGTCGCCTTGAGCCTTGCATCCCTAGCTGAGAGGGCCACTGTCGTGGTTGTGGTTGTCACCTTAGCACCGCCAAGTTGCCAACACTCTGCGGAAGACCTTTAAGCCTTCACGCCCTGCGCGACTCCAACCCGTGGCCAAACCCTGCACTGCTTGGTGCCCCGGGCCGGGACCAGCGTGGACGACTTGCCGGTGACCTGTGAGATGTCAAACTGCCCGCTGGGCTTGACAGCTTCGGGCTCAAGGGGGCCTGGCTACCTGGGTACTTTCAAGGCTTTTGCCAGCCTCTCGTTGGTTAGAGGTGCAGTTCACCCTTTTGTCTTATCGCGTGCTGGACGCTGAATCTTTCACTTCTGCGTAATTAATTGTTCATTGACAACGGCTGTGTGCTAGGGCATGCATGTGTCATCCGGCAAAACAAAAAAGCAAAACGTATGAGCAATGCGAGCCAAACGGAGTGCACTTTAGGAACACTTAACTCCGAAACTCGCGCAGCTTGGCAAACCTTACACAGAAACCGAGCGATATTCTGGGCAATGTTTGGCTACACGTAAACACACAGAATTTTATTGAAAGCACCAGGAACAATGGTTTGGCCAAGACCCCCCGATGCAACAGAAGGCCTGCAGGCTGCCTGTGTATCCTGCATCCTGCGGCAGAACTCTGTTGAACGGCTGGGCTGGGGGTCTGTGGACTGCGTGGCATCGGGACCGAAAAAGTGCGTAAATGCAACGACAGCTCCGCGCATTGAACATCACACTACTGACAAAGCTCTATGCCGGCCGCCCTCAGAACTACTCCTTAAGCCATGTCTGCACACCAACCTAAGACATTGGAGGAGGCTGAGACCCAGTGCATTGTGCTCTGGCTAAAGGGCATGGATCTTGAAGTTTCCAGCTGCTTTCGATTTGAGGCGCGGCCGCCAATACTGCGGACAGCGACGACGATGGCGGTGGCGGTGGCAACGACAAGTCGATGCTTCGACTGGTGACAGCTTTGCACGCCTGAAGTCTCATGAGGACTGCGTGGCCCAAACCGAAGTCATATGCTCATGCCGCACATGCCTTTCAGTTGAAGGGCCTCCTCCTCCTTGCTCTCCCCCTCCTTGAAACATTCCTTGAGCCTTCGTTGTACTTCCACTATTACGGCACAGCGCATTTTTTGGCCCCAGAACCGCGTCTAGAGTAGAAAGGAGCCTTTCACTCTGATGCTCGGACAAGAAGTGCACAAAGCACTAAAACCTGAACCCCCGGTCCATGACGGCGTTGCTGATGACCTGGAAGATTCCCCGGTGCTTTTTGGTGTGCGGGTTTGGGTCTTTGGGTTTGCTGCCTATGCTTTGGGCTTTCCTTGGGTGCGGTGCCAGGTTAAAAGCTCCATGACGACTCTTTCGAGCATCCCAAAACATGGAGGGCACATAAGCTTGCACAGAGCCTTCTCGGATCTAAGGACTGGGTATGGCAGCCAAAGGGAAAGCCACTCGGGTATTGGCATCTGCGCAGCCCAGAGGGCCTTTTGCCTTCAGCCAACACCCCCGCGGGGATCATGTGTTGGAGTCACTAACCACGTGCTTTCGGCGGATCCGATACCCCTGAAGTGGCATTGGGAAACAAGTCGAATCTTGACCCAGTCTAGGCCCTAGGCACACTGAGGTCTGAATCAAATCAGAGACCCTGAGGACCCCGCCCGGTTTGTGTCAGCCACAGAGAACGTCTCGATCGCAACCTGCTTCCTGCAGTCCAAGCAAGCAACCGCCTCTCTCCTGTCACCATCACGGTGCTGAACCTTCGGTTCGGGATCCAGCTTGCACACGTGTGCATCGAAGTACCATGAGCAGACTGTGGGAGAAAGGATTCATGGGTAGCCGTTTCGGTACCTGCAGACACCCCACTCCTGACACTTCCCACAAACCTGACTCTCGACCGTCTCCAGCAACTGGAGGGGCCTCCACTGTGAACATCAGCCACTACAACCAAGACCCTGGACTGCAGGTCAACGTCAAAGAGGAACCTGCTGAAGCATCTCCCTGCAGCCAAGTGTCTCTGCAGCCAAATCTGGGTTGGCCATCTTCACTTCAAAGACCCTGGGTAAGGACAGGCATGGTTTGGCTCAAAGCTGAAGAGCTCAGGAAAAACAGACGACAGATGGAAAGATGGCTCGGAAAGCTGATGGGTGGGGACAACGTAGCTGTGACAGCCCAAACAGTCATGAGTACTTTCCTGTGCAGCAGTATGGATGTTCCATGCTACTTATGTTGCTCATTCCTGTAGTGACATCAAATTACCTGATTGAGATCCTTGCTACACTTGGTGCTGTCGGAATTGCCATCAGTGACATGCAGGTTAATCTTCTCACTCGTCCTCTGGCAGTCATTAGCCACATGACCCAGCCGGAAGCTTTCATGTCGTTGCTATGGTTGGCTCTCTTGGTTGTATTTCTCATGGAAATTGCTGCTACTGCTAGTTCCAGCACTTCTGCAACCAAACGCCTAGATCACATCCAGTTAGATATTGTGCAACATAACCGGGAGAGCTACGGTCGTTGTCGTGCTGCTGCTACCGATGTGATGGGTGCTGCGACTGCAGTGGCACTGAAGGCGCTGCGACAGTCCAGTCACTGCTTTGTGGCACTGTTCATGGAATTCCTTATTATGATTATTCCTGCTACGTTTGTGGCTCTATGCGTGTTGTTATTACTCATACTATCACTCTGAATCAGATATCTCCGAGTCTGCTGGGAAGGTCCCTGATCGATGCTGCTGCTATGTTTGCATGATTTGCAGTATCTGCAATACAAAATACACAGCCGTACTCCGTAGGATTGCTTCCCTTGTTTACCACATGTTGTGACCTCGGGCTCCGACGCGATGACCTGGGCCATCAACTTCCGGGATTCAGCGAGGCGACGCAATTGATTGAACGTCAGCGAGACATCTGCCTTTGCGAAGGAAGGCTCTGAACTGCGGAGTCTCCCTGCTTCGATTGAAAGCCAAGCCAGCAAGAGTCAGGGCTGGCCATTCTGAACTACAAAGTTGGTGGCAAGGGCAGTTTTGTTCAGTGCCATGCCGGAGGAAGTGACTAGCTCTGTCTCACCATGCACACAGGCGCTGGCACAACTATACAGCTGTGTCTAACGTGTCAACGGCCAGTTGACATTCTGATTGTGCCAAAAAGCCATCCATGCAAGAGTTGCACATCTCTCTCAATTCGTCGCGTTCACTGCGAACAGACAATTAGCTCTGTTTCTATCTTCTTTATATGGTCTTTGAGGGACTGGAAACTTGATGCGATTTGGTGGGTCTGCATTCGCACTTCAATGCCTGCCTGTCGCATTTAGACTGCTCCCTGAACCTTGGAACCTCAGCGGTTTGAATGCTCCTGAAGTAGGTCTCTTGCGGGCGTCTTTCGCGGCCTCTGGCACCACCGGTGAAACCGAGGCTCAAGAAATCCAGGACATGACAGGCGGCTTGCAACCAAGGCGCCACAGGTACACCAACCATCGTGGCAAATCCTTCCCTGAAAGCAAGGTGTTGCAAAGGCTGAGTGCTCCGGTGCAGGGGCGTTCTGCGCATGAAGCACGAGCCTCTTGTGAACAACAGCTGACTATACTTCTTACCAAGCGCCTGCATGCAACCTCATTTCCAGCTTTACGTCATTGATATTCACGTCATTGATATTCCGCTGCAGCTTTGTGTAGTCAACTTTAACTTGCTATGGAGAGAACTTTGGGGCTGGTGCAGGGCGCCGAACAGTTCAGATCAGAAGCAGGAACGGTTTGCAGTGTTTGCAACAGGCTTCCTCCTTGTGCGTTCCGATCAGGTTTGCAGAAACTGTCCGGAAAGCTTTGGAACCTTCCTTTTGTAACATCGTGAGTAAGGGGAAAATTCTTTGCCATGCCCTAAATTGACATAAACTCACAACCCCATATGTGGATCGAAGTGATCTGACCACCTCCTGTGCAAAGCAACATGGCATTCATAGAAGCATGGTGATGCACTGCCCCACAGTTGTTTGAAAAACTGAGCCACGCGCCGCATGGCAGTGGTCACGGTAACCTCGCTGGCAAAATCTCTGGATAGTATGAGCTTGTCGTCATAGCAAAAGCTGTCTTGGCTACCCGTGTCACCTGCATGGACCTCACGACCGGGGGCCCAGGCATCGTTGATGAGTTCGGTCACATTGTCAACGGTCATCGGCATCGTGACTTCGATGACATTGAAAACGGCTCCCTTAGCACTGTTCGAGCATTCTTATGGGCTGGCTGCGACCCATCCGTCAGTGCATGGGCCCACAGTAGCAGGCGATGCCATGCTTGCTGGTTTTGATGCTGCGACTACACTTCCACTCACCCACGCACCAACCCAGCCAGACAGCCAGCCATCCGCCCATACGTAGATACTGCTGCAGGTGATGCTCGGGCTCAGGTGGCTCGTGCTCGCACTGCGACGACGGTGGTGACGATGGTGGTGACGATGGTAATGAAAGCATGATGGAGCTGCAAAGGCAAATCCACAGAAGCCTTCAACCAAAAACTCAACCTGAGCTCGGATACACGATGGACCCTATACCCCAGTCCCTGTAGCCGAAACTAACATATCCAAACCGTTAAAAGGCGTTGACGAGAAATTAACAAACCGTAACCGTAACCCAGCCTTAACCTTCACAGAAAACTTCCTCCTGAGCCACTGCCTAAAAACCCCAAGAAAACTCTCCCGGACTGCTCTTCCAACGATGTCCTCAGGACCACGCCTCGACCTGAGCTCGGATGTTTCACGAAGTTGACTCCTACGGGGTTTCTGGGGCAGGGCGCCTTCGGATGGTGGTATTGGCACTGCCGATGTACAAGAACAACCACAAGCAGCGCAGAAGTAGCGACAGCAGCAGCGGCAGTGGCCGCGTCAGAGCGACAATCACACCGCCATGCTGCAAGGCTCCGACAAACTGAATGTGATGGCCAAACTTGAGGACCGTAAAGTTTCAGGTGTAAGGCCGGAGAACAGCTTGTCGCTTGACAGAGAGAGGACATAGAGGACGGACACAGGGAACAAACTACCTCGATATTGGAGAAGCACCTTCAAGAACAGACGCAGGATCAGAGGTGTTCTATGCTAAAACCCTCAATTTCAGCCCAGGGTGCGGTGGTCGTCGTGGTAATGCCTGCCAGCTGCGCGCACGCGTGACATGAAGACCCGGATGCTAGCAACGATGATGGCAAGAAGAAGAAGCAGATGCCACGGTACGGGAAAAACCCAGCTGGTCATCACAGCAACACGAGCTGTACACTTTGTGTACGTGATATTCGGGGCGGCTAGTGGCAGCAGGAACAGCGGCGAATAGCAGCAACATACATCAAATTCGTGACTGTCAGCAGCTCAGCAGCTGATTCGCAAGCGTGGCATGAGTCAATGAGAACCACCCCCTCACCGATCGTTTGTTCTTCTCAGAACATCCCTGTGTCACGCCTGTGTCTCATGCTGGCCTCGGTGCTGACACCGATAAACCCACCGCCGGAAAGCGCAAACCGAGGCAGCCCGGAAGCCCTGCTCTGAGGTCTGAGGATGCCACTCTTTGGATCCAGCATGCAGACGCCGGACTGGAACATGGGCCTGGCAAGCTTTCATCTTTCCTTGGGCTCAGTCAGTCCTTCACTCCCGGCTTCTACTGATCCCTGTAAGACTCTCCGAGACGTGTTCGCGTTCACGCGCCTGCAACTGTGCCTGTCGCTTGTGCACGCAGTGTTAGTATCAAGGCAAGACCAGCCACTCAGGCAAATACCGTCTCGGCAGCAGACTCTTCATGTTCAGCACGCCGTATTGCGCTTTGCCAAATCAAAAACTGTCATAAACCACCGAATCGGAAAGGCTGAACGAGTCTCCGGATCCCAACCTCCACATGCACGAGGAATCGCCGACGCAGGCCGTCTCGTTCTCCACCTCGGAAGCTTGGGGCTTCGGGATTGTTCGGATTAGGATGAGGAGCAGTTCTAGTCCCACATCGGGCCGAGCAGCATAGTCGACAGCACAGGTGGAGATATTGCCGAGTGTCTCGAGGTACTCCTGCGGTGACTGGAATCTGGTAAGAAACCTCTTGCATCAACCGCATTCAAAAGCAACCGAGAAACCATTTTGTTTTCTGCCGTGACATGTCCTTGATGCCGTAGAGCGTTGTGTCACAGTTGCGGTCGTCCACCGGCGCCGGATTCCACAAGCTGGTCCAGGCTCTCCAGCCGTAACGCGTCTGCACAGCTCGGGGCTTGCGGGTGCCAAAGGCTCTTACGAGGGGTAGAGCCGCGGATAAAATGCTTACGGCTTGCGGTGAGGCTCGAAGAACACTCGTCGTACCACCAGGTAGCCGTGGCCGTCTACTACTACTACTACTACTACTACTACTACTACTACTACTACTACTACTACTACTACTACTACCACTGCTACTACCACTGCTACTACCACTACTACCACTACTACCACGACTACCACGACTACCACTACTACCACTACTACTACTACTACTACTACTACTACTACTACTACTACTACTACTACTACTACTACTACTACTACTACTACTACTACTTTTTGCTGTGCGTGCACAACCGCTCACGAGCGACCTAGTGTAGGAAACCGGCGATACTTTCAGTATCGGCTCCTCGCGGGAGGGCGCGATGGCCCGAAAATGAAATGTGGGAATCACAGCTTCAGACTTCAATGATCCCACAGTAAGTCAGTCAAATAAAACTGGAACACATGGCGATCCTCAACATACGCAGCTTCGTGCCGACAGCACCGAGCAAGCTGCATGTATCATGATCGGGCCGACAGCCCCAAGCATCATGAAACCGTTGCAGGAGCCACCTCAATTCCTGTGACTGTACGAATGAGGTAGCAAGCTGCGGGTACTACTACTACTACTACTACTACTACTACTACTACTACTACTACTACTACTACTACTACTACTACTATTACTACAACTATTACTATTACTACTACTACTACTACTACTACTACCACTACTACTCCTCCTACTCCTACTCCTACTCCTACAACTCCTGCTACTCCTACTACTCCTACTACTCCTACTACTCCTACTGCTCCTACTACTCCTACTACTCCTACTACTCCTACTACTCCTACTACTCCTACTACTCCTACTACTCCTACTACTCCTACTACTCCTACTACTCCTCCGACTCCTGCTGTGCCGCTGCTGCTGCTCCTCTTCCTCCACTATTCCTGCTGCTGCTGCTGCTGCTGCTGCTACGGCTAACAATTCTTTATCATACTACTACTACCACCACCAGTACTACTACGACGACTGCTACTACTACAACTACTGCTAGTGCTGGCATTATAAGCAGCGCTGGAGGTAGTTGTGGTTGTTGCTGCTGTTGTCGTCGCAGTGGTTGTAGTAGTTCCAATTGTGGGCATTTGCAGTGGCAGGGGTCGTGGCAGCATCTGATAGTGGAAGCGGCAGTGGCAGTGATCCTTCTGTAGATTTTCGTGATGTAGGGAGCCCAACTAGAAGGAGGCCACGCCTTGTCCTTGGGGGTGAACTCGTCACTCACGTTGAATGTCGGAGAACTAATCTTCCAAGCGATGTAGTCGTCCTTGCAGCAGGGCCCAAGGTGAATTTGGCCCACCATGCGCTTTGCCGCAAGCGGGGTCGTAAGTCTGACTCGTAGAGATTGGCAAGAGTGACCGCTCTAATTTCCCACTGGCAAACCGCCTAACCCCCAAAGCGTAGGCCTCTTCGGCCTAAGGTCGAAAGCACGAAACCCTGAGCACAGGAAAACGAACCAAGACACCACTTCGGAGCAGTCCCAAAGATGAATAATTCACATGCATCGTCTGCCATACACTGTGCTCATGAATTTCAGCATTACCATCATCATAACTATCACGATCAGCACTACTACCGTCGTCCTTTTCGTCGTTGCTGCCGCTGTGGTGGTAATCATCATTGTCGTCAGCAGCATCACCATCATCATGTGTCTCGCATCCGAGCCGCTGCTGTCGGGCCGAAGGCAAGGCTGCAGTTGCCTTGGGCTTCACCAGCTTTCAAATTTTGCCCTGTCGCCTAGGCTTCGGGGAGCTCCATCCTAATCGTCTTGCGAAGCTTGGTGCACGCCTGAAGTGACACTCTAAATCGCTAAGCGCAGCAATACTAGCTAAGAGGATTGGGGTTCAAGCAGCACGTGCAGATGCGGCGGATTTGGGCAAAGTACTGTGCAGTGTGCTGCAGCAGCATCGAGCACGGTGTCGTAGAACGATATCTTACTGACTGTATGCTAGCTACTACAAGGTAAGATAGCGCAGTAATTCGTAGACAACCTTCCATGCCAGGAAGTGGCCGGAAGTATGCTACATGGAATACCTCAGAGGATACTAAAGGTTTCATGCGTGAGAGGCATACCCTTCTAGAATCTCTGCACCATACCAGGATGCAATACACTTGATGACACTGCAAACAGCTGTCTTCAAGTGGAATCGTGGAAACATACAACAGGGCGCTCCCAATTGAAATCGTGGATGGATACACCAGTGCGCACAAGGGAGTTCGGAACAGAATGCAGGCGACACAACCCGGCTTGCACATCGCACTGAGCTGCTCCAATCCTTGCCGGTCGTGGCGACATCCCAAGCATCGCAAAAGGCAAGGGCATCGGCCTGGCGAGAGAAAAACACTTACGAGTAGGGGTGATGAGGGGTAATATTGTGTGTATATATATATATACATACAGACATACATACATACACTCTTATTCCAGCTCCTGCCTTCTGACTCTACATTTGGAGTACTAATGGCCGTGGGTCACGGTTGCTGTGAACAGAACTTAATCCGCTTGGTTCCGCAAGTTTGCATCTACGGTATGTTCAAGATTCGGGGGCGTGGAGCTTCAGAGCCTGACAGCCTCCGATCGACACGTCGTTTCCCTGCACAGGAAGGCGCCTGAACAGCTTCTTGATGATGATGATGATGATGATGACTGATGATGGCGATGACAACGATGGTCATGAATCTGTGATGTTGTTGTTGTTGATGATGATGATGTTCTTGATGCTCTTGATGCTCTTGATGCTCATGATGCTCATGATGCTCATGATGCTCATGATGCTCATGATGCTCATGATGCCCACCATCGTGATGAGGATGACTATGACCATTGACTGGTACTAGCTGTTTCTATCTTTACACTTGAGTCACGACAACCGTGTCTTATGATTTGCTAGACGCAGGCATGGCTTTCAAAATCATGGCTTCATGGGTCTCGCTGCAGGCCAAAACCTCATTCTCCGAAAGAGCACTGTGTCCACGGTCTATCCCTCACTCACGGCTCCCTTTCTGGTCATCTTGGAATATGACATCGCTTTGTGAGACAGTTTTCCGGGGAGTTGCCGCGAAAGTCCGAACTGCATCCAAGCGGCGGTCTTGTACAGAACCTCATACTTGTCATGGTGATAGTTCAAGACGATGCCGAACAGATCTTCTGCCTGAAGCAGCTCACTGGTCATGTGTATGCCATACCGAATTGCAAAAGGGCCTGCAGCGTGCCTCCATTTAAAAAAAATGTGCAAACCCTCACCACGTCCACTCTCCGAAATCGGACAAAGAGAATGTGCGGAATCCTGAGCGTAGCTCAAAGACAGTGCAGGTGCCACAGACAGGATTGCAAAAAAAAGCTCGAGAGGACACCGCAATGACAAGGAGATAAGAGGAGATTTTCTGCTTTGCCAACTCCAGATTCAAACAATCTCAATCCCCAAGAGTCTTCTGGAACTCCCAACACTAGCCTCGCAACCCGAGAGCGGAGTAAAAGCGGGCTATGACCAGCCTGCTCCATGGAAGCCTTGCAGTTGGGTCGCTCACCGCAGTACCTTCCGGACTTCTGCACAACCCAGCTTACAAAGCGGCTTCCTGTCATGGCTTCGGCTTTGGGAATCTGTGCATTCCTGGCCCTGCCTGGAGTCCTTCAGGACGTAGGGCAGCACGGGTTTGTCCATCCTTGGAGGGCAAAGAGCACTTTCGGCTCTATGCTGGGCACCCACACACGGCGTACACGATTTCAAGCCAGCACCGCACTGCGGGGTGCTTCATCAACTACACGGGAGGTCATCTGCCGTAGAGGACCCGAAGCAGCAAATTCCAATGACAGGCCGCGGTGTTCAAAACCTGACAACAGCTTAGCCTAGCATGTCCCGCAGCAGAGCCAAGATTCGTCTCCATGAGCACGCTCACTGGTGCTTTGACAATGTGGTAGTTGTCAGTGAGTGCCTCAAACGGCTTGCGGTTGAAATGTCAGGTCCTTTAAGGATGCTTGACCCAAAGCCTGCCCCTGGCTGTAAGGGTCACACGAACCATTTGGTGTCCACCGACTTGGCAGCCTCGGTTCGGCGGCATGGGAAGCTGCCGAGGGCCCTTTTACGCAAAACGCGTGCTGGCATAGGAAGGGCGAAAAGCTCTGACATAGCTCTCATCTCTTGCCCCACTACAACCTGATGGCAGCCCTACACACAATCTCCATCCCAGCTCCAGCTCCTGGCTCCAGCCGAGCTCCCAGCTTGATGCAGACAAGAAGCCTCGCAGAGGTGGTAGAACGGCTGAGATGAGGCCTTCTTCATCGTCAGTGTGACATTGCCTCGGAGGCTGTGTGATGGAAACGCAGATGTGGGATTTGGGGTTCGTTGGGATCTTATGTCTGACATTGCTACGGCTCTTCGCTTGGGCCTTGGGACTCGGGAATGCCAGGAACTCACCAAAAATCAAGCAGTCAGTAAACGCCAGACGCACTCGTCAGCTAAGCGGCCACCTGGGGCAATAATTTCCATTGAGTTCATCGCCTGTTCGTAGTACGCGAGGCCCATGATCTTCTTGAAGGGGTGATGCGTGGGCACCTCACTTCGCAGTCGCGAGAGAGAGCTCTTTTCCGGCTTTTCCCTTCGAGTGCACGAAATCCAGCTTCGACAAGTCGAAGCCTGGATGTCTGTAGACGACTTGCTGACAGCCCAAAAGCTCAGGGCTCCACCGTTTCCAGGAAGTGGCCCTGGTAGTCGAACCAGGCCACGACCAACGTCACGTTGTCATCCTTCCATGTTGGACAATGGGTTCAGGATTTAATAAGCTGGTCGGCGAGTCGAACAGAGTTCGGTTCAGCATGGGCATTTCCTCCACATCGTACTTGCAGGTACTTCGAATACTCGACGAGTTTGCCATAGGCTGATCGATTAAATGCTCTGGGGTAGATACCGCTTGTGCCAGCTACGCAAATACACTCTTCTTGAAACCTACTGGAAGTTCCTTCGGTATATTCCGGACGCGGATGTCCAAACAACAGACACGCATGAAAAGCAAGAGAGGGCCCGACCGGCAAGTTCTCGAACAGGTTCTTGTTGGAGCCATGGCGGATGTAGGTCGGGAACTCGTAGCTGGTGTTCAGCAGTGTGTTGGCCTGAGAAAAGAAGGGAGGAGAGAAACCGAGAGAGGGAGGCAGAGAGAGAAAGGAGAAAGGGATAGAGAGTGAGGAGCAAAAAGATAAACAGAAAGACTGTTAGCAAAACAGGCGCAGAGCGACGAACCGACGAACCGTCCCGACGAGCCGCTTAGGGACGAAACTGCGACATGACAAAGACGGAGAAAGCGAGAACGAAGCGAAAAGCAACAGGAAAGTTTTGACAAAAAAGGAGCGAAGCAACAAACAAGTATGGCTGCCAAGTGTAACACGGAAACCCTGAGCCAGACACGTAGTTGCCCACGAGCATGGAATTCGGATTGTAAGTCGTGTTGGTGCCCATGACATTCGTCCACGCAGCAGAAAACCTCAGAGAACCGACTAGCAGCTACCGAAGGATCCCACCTGCAGCGACTTGCAGCTTGCAGTCTTGCAAGCAAAAGCACTTCACTTGCATCTGCACACGTAGCGGTCCCCCTTTTTCCAGGTCAGATCGGGATCCCGAAGAAATGACCCCCGAAGCTGGAAGTCCTGGGGGTAGGGGTGCGGGATGGTGTGGCAAGGTCTTCGAACTGCCTTACAGCGAGCATCACCAGGTTCAAAGAAGCCCGTCCGCCTCATCGACGAAAAGAATCACAAGCCCTTGCATGCCGAAGGCCGGTTGCATGTCCAACCCCAGGCAGAAAAAAAGAAACACAATGCTGGAGTCCTTCCGCTCGAGAACCAGAAGAACGTCCGAAGCCCCCGAGCTCTGAACCCTCAGCCGATGCCACCTCCCATCTGCGGCCCAGCGGCGTCGGATCGGCTCCGGACTCTGCAGCCATGGTAATCATGGCCTCGGAACTACTGCTGGAACTGCCGGAACTGCCGCCACCACCCTCACCACCAGCACCTCCCACAAACACAACTCACAGCAGCGCCGCTGCCACTGCCCCACCAGCTGCTGCCGCCCTTTGGCAGTGCAGGTGACGGCGTTCTCGGCACTCCAAGGAGCACTGGTTCTGAAACTGCTCCGATTCTTTTCCCTCTCTTGGCGGTTGCTCGTACTGCTTATAAGAACACCAAGTACGACTCGAGTAAAGTTGAGGTTCCAAAAGTCATAGGTCAAACAGCTCTAATGCCGAGGTGCGAAAGCCACATCAAAGGCCATTTCTTCCATCATGTTCGTGGTGCCCTGCGTGGAGAAAGCATTGACCAAATACCTCGGCAAAGGATTGCGGGTTGCTAGCATCCACAACCCATGAGATTGAACGAATGTGCTTCAGAGCCTCATGATTCTCATGATCCCGCAACACAGGCCGTCGCCTAGTGACCACGCAAGATTTTCACCGCCAGGTCCCAAAACATTCAAGACGGGAAGAACCCAAGGCGTGACGATCTCTCTTCGAAAAGTAAGTTCGGGGTAGGCATGACGGCCTGCATTGACAAGTCACTGGGTCCAGTTGTTCTTGAGATTGTAGATGGCGTTGCCGTTGATGTGGTCGACCAAGTAGTCGGGCATCATGTGCTTGAACAGGTCCCACTTGTCACCTTCTAAGGAAGTCTAACCCCTCCGAAGATGTCAAAGCTGTCAGAACAAGGGTCATTGTCATCACAACCATCACCTCGGCCGCCCAGCATCGCCACCTCCGTAACCCCGCGACAGCATCACCGTGATAGCCCCAACCATTGCTTTTCTTTCGTCAGTCACGGTTGTGCTCCCGACACAAAATGCAAGAGTCTTCTGAACACATGTGCAAGCAGTCTGACTTCCCTTGCTAGTGTTGGCCATCACAAAACCACTACGGAAATCTCACGAATAAACTCTGTCTCGCAAGCAAGCGCGAAGGCTCGTTATGCATGGTGAGCGTCTCTTGCGAACGGACGGAAAAAAACAGGTGGTCATTGTCAAAGTGACGGCTGATGGCGATGCCAAGGACGACGACGGCAGAAAGAGAACGAGATGATGAGTCGCGGTGACTGCGACAGGAGCTGCAAGAAACGGGGAAGAGGCTTGCAAACAAGAACTACAACAGACTTCAAGCGCTCCAGCATGGCTTTCCAAACTGGGTGGCCAGAAGTGGAGCAGAATGAAACAAGCATCCATGCCGAAAGACTTTGGCCCTCCCAAGCTGCAACGACAAGACGTGGCGCGTGCCCGGGGCCCGGCCTAGGTACTGGCTGCCCCGCACGGCCATGTTGCCCCCCGGCATCTCCAAGGCCTGCAGGCACTGCAGGCAGCGCGGCGAACGGAGATCCCTGGCACCCTGGCTGGCCCTGGCCCTGGCTGGGCCGCCCCCTTCTGCCTCCATCTCGAATTGATCGAGCCAGTTGGCCTTGATGGGAACGGCGTCCATCTCCTGTTCGCGGACAAAAGAATCATTGTTGCAAGAGTGCTGTTAAGAGCTGCTGCATCAAGCCGAAGAATTGAGAATCCCAACAAGCATGGGCAGCTGCGGCACGGCTTCTTCCAGGAATATAAAGACGGACATCTAGAAACTGTCGCTGCCCCCATGCCACAACCCCTTCGAATGCCACGGTCCATCAGGAAGAAGGAATCGTACATGCCCATGTAAGGGCCAGTCATCAGGGCATCCATGATGCTCTTGAAGACAGTGTTGGGACCTCAGACACAGTCGGCCCGGGGAGACTCAACAACAGTGGGATGTCCGGGGCTGCCACCAGATACCCAGTGCTTGTTCGTGGTGTACCCGTTGCTGTCGTACACATCTTGCTCGGGGTTGAGCTTCGCTGACATGTTCTTGATGTTCCTCAGACACAGATCTTATCGTCAAAGCATATTGGAAGGTGGCTTTTGCTTTTCATGGCCCGATATTGCTGCCACCTGCGGACACCAGATCACAACCTAGCCTAGTTTGGATGAAAGGATGTGCAAACGATCAAAGCAGCCTCAAAGCCAGGCCTGTTCTGTAGGCCTCGAATTAAAAACGCCCCAATCCCTGCAGATGCTCCATTGCACAAATCAGAGCCGCAAGTAGTGAACTGTGCACAGTGAGAAACCACGAGATCGTTTTGCTACCACGAGGCCTGAAGCACTGGACCCAGGCCGACGCATTATTCATGAAGGTTGTTTCGAGATCCGCGACGACCTAACATGCCAGATGCTGCTAGATTCTGCTGGAGCTAGAAGAATGAGACAGCACGCTGTGCTGGAAGCCTCCCGGCAGTTAAGAGATGGGATCTGAAGTTTCGTTTGCTTCAACAGGAAGTCTTACGATCTGCACACGAGCTGCAGAGAGCCCATGCTACGTGAACCCAGGGCCCTCCTCGCCTGGCTTGCCATGACGTCGGTCGCGAGGTCTTTGCCTGAGGTCTGCGGGGTGGAGGTTCTAGGACTCTAGGTCGCTCTGCCAACGCCTGTTTCTTTCGGTCTGAGATTGCAAAGCCCATAGTGTGGATCTTCTTTCAAATGGCGAGTAGCGGCCCTTGGAGAGAGGAAACTGACTGCGCGCCAAGCGGCTGTAGACTAGGATGAGATCAATCTCACTCGTGGTGGATTTGGCGGCGCATGGCATGGCGCTGGACGTAGCCCAGAGGTCGCTACTGGAATTCAGCAGCATCACCTGACACGCGTCAGTCAAATCCTTTCACCAGAAGCACTCTGATACCCTCAACTTCGAGTGCTTTCACCCTGCCCGGAGCCCCAACTCATCAAAACCTCCTCGTCCGTAGAGAAGACGCGGACAACTGCCAGATTCGCCGCCCGTACTTGGGCCTCGGAAGGCACGTCTTTGCACGCTTCTCCATGCATGGTCCTTGAACCCGTACAGACATAAGGGGCTTAGCATCGTGCTGGCCAGCCAAAGGCTTGGTTGAGGACGGCTCAGTTCCAAAGGTTCCGTCATCAGGTCTACCGGGAGAGCAGTGCCGAAGATTATAACGATGATACTCTGATACACCTTGCAAAACCTTCCCCTGCACTTCAAACGCTCAGTGGAAAGTTCCTGCCTCAAGAGGCATCAAACACTGCAAGGTTTGTCACAGAACCCCAAAACCAAAGAGAGGACCTCCTTCCCTCCTCAACTTCGACGGTGACAGGCCACGAACCCCAGCGCCGCCAGAGCCAAGGTCAGCATCATGGCCTTGGAGACCAGGCACTCAGTGCAGGACTTTCGAACTTCGAAATCGTTGCTGCTTTCAACCGGTTCGGATCTGTCTTCAGTCGTTCACCAGAAATTCTCAAAGCTTGAAGGCCGTTTGGCCAAGCTTGAACTAGGCCAAGTTGCTCGCATAGGTGAAAAACACACGTGGCGAAGCTTTTGTTAAGCTCGAGCACCCCGCGTCTGCGGAAATCTTGCCATACAGCAGATGTTATTAGGATAGCCTGGACCAGTTTTTGCCAGTTTTCGACCTACTTGCATCAGCTTTCGACAGAAGCTCCGTGCCCACTCACTCACGTTTTCGATATCCGTGAACTAAAATTGCATGAACACATCGCTTCGTGGAATGACGGCGCATCGCACCTACGTAATCCTATGCAAACACTCAGGGAAATCTCCGACTGTCACTGGGGCAACATACATGAACCCGGTGGACTCGACAAGCCGGAATGTCAGCACCCATATGTGAGCCGCATACAACTTTCGACAACACCGAATTCCGACTCCATACTCTTCGTTTACATTGGTCCAGACATGCTTTCTGATCTTTGTGCATGCACCTACTCTCGGAAACGAGCTCGACTCGACGTTCACCAACCAGCGGCTGTTGTGTCCAAATACAAAATTTGCTTATATGGGCTACACATGCAAATGCACAAAACTGATGCTAATCGAGTGGGTATGTGTGGAAGAGGCCGGCAGAAGTCTGTAATCTCTCAAATACGGCCTCTTTTTTTTGGGTGCCTTGATTGGGTTTGATTGGGTTAGTGGCAATTAGGTGGATGGTGTTCATGAAGGCCTTAGTTGTAATTGGTCTACTTTCCAGGATGTGCGGTGTTGTTCTTTTGGTTTATTCAATTACAGGTGAAGAGCGTAATTGAATAAAGCAAAAACACAACACGCTTCGTTAATTTCTCTCTCTTCTTTTCTTGCGATGTGTTTAAATGGAAAAAAAACACGCTTCCGCTTCTCTCCACTACTAATGTTCAAAGAAGATAAAAAGTTACAGTTTATTTCCCGTGATGTTTCGATCATACTAGAGTTTACCTTTTAATCTACCATCATATTTTTAGTGTTAAGATTGTAACTAATAGTAACACAATCAGAAAAACAAGTAGCGAAGAATGAGCGACGCGAACCCAAAAAAAACAATTAAAACAAACCAAACAAACGGAAGTGAACGTAATGAACTGTGCGCGTCCATTCTGTTTAATTTGATTCTTTCGGCTCTTTTCGTTCTTTTGCTTTGTTTTTATTTGGATCGTTTTGCGCTTCATTTTCACTCCATTGCGAATGAACGAGAAAAAATGGTGTGTTGGTTTGTTGTGATAACAAAAAAACGCTTCCGCTTCTCTCCATTGTTTTTCTTCCATTGAGCAAAAACCAACCATTAACACACCACTCTTTTCATAGGTTAGTGTGATAAAACTTTTTTTTGGGGCGTGAATGGGTCTCGGTGACAGCGGCTGCTGCGCTCGGTCCCCAGAAGACAAGAAAGTAAAAATAGGAAGCAACAAGAGCTGTACATGGTGAAACGAAGCGGCTGCGACGTACAGACTTCGCCGGCAAAGTCGTTCAGCATCTTTTTACGGTGCGCATCCACAAACATGGCTCCGCTTCCGAAATCGTTAGAAGGCGGCAGGACACGACTGCAGTGCAGAATCGATGGACCAAGCGGGAAAAGGACTATGGCGCATCCCACACACGAATGAAAAAGCCAAAAGGATATTGTCAATCCTCTTATTGCGGTGGAGCTTTGCGAACCTCCAGCATCTTGCGGAGACGACCAAGCCCATTCTCTCATGGAGGGAATTATCGCGACCGTGAAATCGAATGGCAGCAGGCAGTTCTAGAGGTTTCGCGCTGTGAAAACTCTGCCCCTTGCAGCAGCAAGTTAGGCTTCTGGCGGGACTTTATCCCGCACCTCGAAAGAATGCTCCACACTACTAAAGCGTTTGGGCTTGAAGTGCAAAATGCAGATCGACTTGGCGAAGATAAAGTTTGCAAGCAATGTTTCCTGCCCCAATCCATTTTAGTGTGGTCTCACTCAGGTTGTGAGCACTCTGGTGGCCCAACGTCATCCAAGAAACGCCGCAGCAACATCAGATGACAGAAACTTGATAGTATTGTGTGTCGCCAGAAACATGATGGCTCAATGAGCATTGTAGCAATTTTAACATCAGCAAGATGGCCGATGGAAAAGATATGCGTCAAAGAGGGGCTGAACTTTTTTTGTCAGGGGTGAAACCCATCCTTCGATCTTGGTTGGCTGCGCTGCATGAAGCTCATTCGTCCGAAAAAGCTTTGTGTCTCAAATTTGTTTCATGAGGCAGACTCATTCGCCAGCGTTCACGTGCTTCAATTTGCTCGAGTTGAATCGCTACGCTTCGTCTTCCGCACAGCACCTGAGCCGCATAGGTCTGTCGGCAAAGCTGCAGATGTCGCATCCGAGTTGATAAACGTTTATTAACTCTGCCAACACCAGCAGTGACAACAACGTGTCACAGGCACCTCGAGAATGCCGCGTAAATTTCCACGTGGTCTTGCTTGCTGGCGGGGAGAGCTCTGGAGCGCATTCCCGCAGATTTCCCATTGCAGAGTTACTGCTGCAGTAAGCTCTGTTTGGGGCTATGCCCAACACGGGCTCTCGAACTGACTGTTCGCTGAAGGCTAAAGGGTTGCATGGCCCGCACCTGTCACCTGAGGTCTGCAGCAATGTGCGCAAAGTAGTAGCTCCCCGGGAGGGAGGCTACCGCCCATCTCGTGTTGTGTCCATCCGCATAAACTTCAGTGGCTTCGCAATCAACATCTACGCGGCTTTTAATGCCTCGGAAGAGCGTGTCCTCGAAGGCTTTACAAATCGAGCCAGGTGCTCAGTTGCATTCCTCCAGTATGCGCGCAAACCATACAAGAAAAGCTTACAGCTTGCTCGTCATCAAGCGTAACTGCATAGGGTTGATCGTATCAAAAACCGGAAAGAAGTTACTGGCCTCACACACTCCGGCACTGCGTTCCCAGTGGAACTAGACATGGTTATCTTCTTTCTTCAGGCATGCAGGATCTCAGCGTGGGAAGGACTTTTCGACCCTGCACAGGCTGACTCCGTCTCCTGGATCTCCCATCGGAATGAACTCCAGGCAGCCAAAGAGAAACTGCAATCGTCGAGGTCACCGCGGCAGATAGGGCGGACATGGGAAGTGCCTTTTGTGAACTCATCAGCAATCTGATTGAGGATCCCGATGGCCTTCTCATAGTGCATATACAAGCGATCCTTGTTGCGCAAGGCACGAACCGCACCTCCCTCAACATTTTGGGGTGGTGCCTCTAAAACGTTCTCCCTCTTACTGGCAGTGATGTGTATCGATGCATTTTTGGATTCCGGCAGCAGCATGCTGCCCTTCTCGCCGTACTCATGATATCTCACAACGATGTGCTTCTCATTCGCACAGGAGATCCGAAGCAGCCAACTGGCGGTGCCGGCAACGATATTCAGTTTGCGATTTTTTTTTGGCGTGAGCGGGCCTCGTCGACTACAGCTGTAGCACTCGGTCCCTACAAACAGACAAACCAACAAACAAACGAAAACAGCGGTGAAACAAGGCGGCTAATTAACAGAGGTCGACAGCTAGCTGCGGCGCATAGGCTTTGCCGGTGTTGGCCGTTCAGCACAAGCTACGATGCCTTAGCGATCGATCTACAACAACCGTGGGCCGTCGCCCAGAGCTATTCAAGACCATCGGCGGAGCCCAAGTCAAAGTCCGGCCGCCGTTCTAGTTCCGTCGAACAACGGACAGTCGCGAGGTCTTGTTCTGTCACGATCGCACGGAAAATCCACAGTCCACAGCCGACAACCATTGGCGGGTGCCAGAAAAAGACCTTTCGACGTACGTCGAATGTCATGGACTTGGAATGGACCGAACGGACCCAATTCCTTACCGGGCACGCTTCGAAGTCGAAGAAGGCCATTGATCCAGTTGGCGTTGCATGTCGCTGCCACTGGTCGACTATCGACGGGCTGCTAAATGAAGCACGTCGGTTTCCGTGAGCTAGCCCACACTGGGCTCCCGCTGATACAACCGTGTACCACCCAGCCCTCTGCGGGTCGGTGCATTTCAGTGCTAAGCAGATGCGGTACAGGGCGAGGCACGCATATAACCTTGATGATCCGCTGGAGATTGAGCTCGAGTCCCTTACGCTGCTCTTCAGCGGGAGCCCAGTGTGGGCTAGCTCACGGAAACCGACGTGCTTCATTAGCAGCCCGTCGATAGCCGACCAGTGGCAGCGACATGCAACGCCAACTGGATCAATGGCCTCCTTCGACTGGAGCGTGCCCGGTAAGGAATTGGGTCCGTTCGGTCAATTTCAAGTTGTGTGCAGAACTGACAAGGCCCAGATTGAAGGCACCCCATTGATCGTCTCCAGTCCCTCCGCCTGCTTTGTGTTTCTGGCCATTTTGAGTCTGGCCCCCACAGCGTAGGTTGGCCATGTACAATGTACGTTAGGGTTCCACTTGGTTCCAGGTGCTCAGGCGCGACGGCGGCCGCAATGTCTCCCTCAGCCACGCTCTTGCAAGGGAAGCACGGCAAGCCTTGCACATACAACCACTGACTCACCGTTGCGAGTGCAACGAGCCGGCTGGTACACGCCACCCAGCTGGACCCTCTGCGGGTCGGTGCATTTCAGTGCTTGGCAGATGCGGTACAGGGCGAGGCACGCCTAGATAACATTGATGATCCGCTGGAGATCGAGCCACGGGAACAGTGGGCGAGGTGGCTCTTCCTATCATCCGCGCCGCATGTACGGAGCTGCCTATTCAGGGACGTCCCTGCGGAGAATGCTTGTGATGTGCGTTTTGGAGACGGATCTGGAGGATGGGTCCCACCCCCTTTGACAAAGGGGGCTTAAGCCCCCCTTGAAGCCCCCCTTTAAGCCCCTTTAAAGGGGTCTCCCCTAAGAGGGGGGGAGGGCAAAGGGTTGAAGCCTTTAAGCCCCCCTTAAAGCCCCTTTAAAGCCCTTTAAGCCCCCCTGTTTGCGTAAACCTCTAAAGGGGTAGCTCTAACAGGTACCTACAGCAATGGCTGCATGCTCATACATATACATTCCGCTGCCCATTGGCTCAAGTGGTTTTACCA